ATTATAGGCTTAATGTTAGGGTTTAAATTTCTTGAGAGGTGGATTAGAGATAAAATTTATGATGTTTTTTTATTCATAATGCAATGAATGAAGATGTGTTGAGTACTGCACACGTGGGACTTAGTATCTCTTTTTAAGATGAAAGTCACAGTGTTCGTTTTATTGTAATAACAAGCTTAAAAACATATATTGTTCCTTACTGTTTAAAATTCATTATAGCAATAGTTGTAACGAAAAATTTCTGATATGAAATGACATAGAATTAAATAGGAATTTCTTCCTTTTATAGCGAGGCAATAATTTATAAAAGTTTATTCTTAAATGGACAGATATGTTACAGAATCTTTCCTTATTTATTAATTCTTTATTCATGATATTTTTGAATTTATATTGTTTACAGTTTTGAATTAATTAAGTCAGATTGCAGCTCTTTGTTCTTGGTTATTTGATAAAACAAATCACGATGATGCATAGAAACACATTAATCAGAAAACAATAAAATTTGACAAATCATAAATTGTATAAGACTATTATATTTTGATTTTTTTTAATTTAAAAGTAGAAGTTTATAATTAAATATTCAAACATTTACCTACGAAGATATGCAATTTGATAAATTAATAAAGAAAATAATAAAATTATTCATAAACTCCAATTACATCTTTTCATTTACAATTTTAATCTTTTTTTTTTAAAACAGCTAAGTTGAAGTAGAATATCGTAGTTTTATCGAAATTTTAAAGGCTTAGATTTTATTACATCTATAACTATTTATAGACGTTTACATTTCAAAATTTTATATATTATTTATAAGCTATTTATAAGCATAAAATAAATTATATTCAATTATATATTTATTATTAATTGAAAAAATGTAATTTGCCTGAGAGAATTATTTATAATTTATAGAAATTAGTTCATAAAATGAATATAAAATAACGAGGAAGTAGCTGATCTTTTTTAACTCATTTCCTTATTATTTTCTATTTACTTATGCAAACAATTTCATTAACTGTAGAGTTAATAAGCTCCGATTTAACTGTATGCATAATTTCTGTTGTGTAATTAAGACAGTAAAAAATATACTTATTAAAATTATAATGTATTACTTTAATTTCCTCGAGATCTATAAATGTAATAATATATTTCAATCATAGTTAAAAGATAGGAATACAAAAATGAATCAATAAAATTTATTTTAAAGTATCAAGCAACGCAATTTAATTAAATTGAAATCACCTTTATATTTTGTTCAGTAATCCAATTACATTTTTTAAAATATAGTCAAAAATAATTGCATTTAAATCTTTCATATTCTACTAATGCTAAAACATTAACTAGAATTAAACTTAATGAGAAATTAAGTAGGACTTTTAAATTTAATACTTCCAATAAGTAAATAGAAAATTTAAATTAATTACAAAATTTAATCAATTGTATTTCATTAATTGTAAATTTAAGAATTCTAATTGTAATTTTTGAATAAATATATTCCATTTGAAAATAAAAAAAGAATAGTTAAAAGGAACTAAATCTTTTATAGTTTATAGGATAAATCGTTTAAAGGAAATATATCATTAATAATTTGCGAATTGTTAAGTGAAAATAATCAAATTTATCAAAAAAAAATTTTCGAACAATTAAGCACTTCTTNTTGCAATCATTTATTCTTTAGAAAACTATCATAAACATGAAGAAATAAGAAATAATTATTATCAGAACAGTATTTTCTGTCTATTTTTAACAAACTTCACATAGACCACCCTCTGATAAATGATTTGGTTATAAGAATTATCCAAAAAGGAATGGTGGGGTGTCTTCGTTTTCTGTATCATTTAAGCTCTAACGAGCTTCTTTTCTTTACCTTTCTTACTTCTTTAAATAGGAACAGTTTCTTTTTCAGTTCATCACAAAATGGAAATAATCCATTTATAGTTGTTGATTTTGATGCTTAAGATCTAAACTTATGCTTAGTTTATGAACTTATGCCATAAGAAAAAAATTTAAATCCATATTTACAAATAAATTTAACATTAAAACACTAAATAAATGGATATTTATAAATAATTAAATTTTAATTTATTTGAAAAATATCTTTAAAATAGAATTTTACAGTGAAACAAAGTTTAAAATAGCTAGTTTTAATCAAGTAAAATTGTTTTCAAAAAGCGATAAAATAAATTAATTTTTATACAAGGTGATTAAAAATATAAAAGTGAATGTGATATATCTTCATTATTACTATCAAAATGACATTCTTTATAATATTTTTTTAAGGATTAAACATTAATTAAAGTCTTATAAAGTAATAACTGATTTTAAAAGTATAGGGCCTACTTATTTTATGTTAGAAACATAAAAATAAAAATCTCAAGACGATATAAATTAAGTTTTTGTATTAAACTTGTTTTATATTAGCTAATTCTAAATAAAATTAATTATTTAATCTAGTTAGTTTCGTTAATTAAAAGTAAAACTATGCAGAATAATTACACAAATTATTTATTATATAAACTGAAAAACAAAGGTAAAATTGAACTAATATAAAATCCCGATTAAAAGTATTTAAAAAAAAATTTTATATTATTTATTGTTCTAAAAATATCATTTTTTCGTTAATATTTAGTCTTTAAAACGTTTCTACAGTTATAAAAATTGAAAAATAAATCCTGTAACATGATTTTATTACAAGAGAACTTAACATTTGAATGACAGTTATGCTAAGCTCCTTTGTCCTCATCATTCCCTTTACTCTAAGAGAATTCATAATATCTACTCATTAATTGCATTTATCTGCTAATTCCTTCATACTTAATTAATGTTTCAAAGGGGGTACATTTTCGATTAACACAAGAATTGCCAGCCTTGTAATCCAATAATCGTTTAAAATTACAAAGTAAAAGTGTATAATTGAATTTACTGAATCAACGTGAAAAAACAAAAAAATTCTTATATTATATTTAGGAAAACAATGAATATTTACAAATTTATAACATTGTTTCCAGCTAATGAAGTTTGGTTCTATGAAGAAAACATAGAGACTTAGAAATTTGCTTTTTTATAAATTTTAATTTGGTACATACCAATGTTATTATGCAAACAAGAATCTTAAAAATCCTATAATTTAATGTCTTGATAATTTTATCATGGATTTTTTTTGTCAGAATTGCAAGAAAAAATCTAGCGAGTATCGATTTTGCAGATTAAACTTTTAATGGACTATGATAACGGATCTTTTGTTCTGAAGTCTACAGATTAAAACGGGTATTAAAAATAAAGTAACTGTAAAATTACAAAGTATTTTACATAAAGTTAGTAACAGAATTTTTTTGTAGTTAACTTTTGAAATTTTGACAAATTTACTAGAATATTTGCTTGAATTTTTTCATAATTGAACACATCGGAACAAGTTTGATTCGTGCAGTTCTCTTTATTCTAAATGTATATTTTTTATAATTAATAAAAAAATAACAAAAGAATAACTTTTTACAATAAATTTTTCGTTATTTGCGAAGTAAATTTGGCTATTTTACTGTTAAGAAAAAGTACGTTTGACAATTTTTCTCATTTTATTCCAAATAGTTGCAGAATGAAGCTACTTGTATAGAGATTTATGAACTGAGAAATTTATAAAAGATATTTTTGTAGATTAAAAGAAAAAAATATGTATAAAATTTTAAGATAATTTGATTCAAAGGCGAAGCGAATTTTATGGAAGTACAACAAGAGAAAATAAAATCGATTAGGACATTTTGATGGGGAAATGTTAAACTAATCTGATCTTTGATGATTAATAAAAATAAATATCGATTTATGATCTCTTACGAATGGGATATGTAAATTTAGGGATCCTCTTAATTAATGGAAATAACATTCAAGTTATATTTCTTAATTTAATAATCTAATAGGCACATCTAATTTTGAAACACTCCTTTACTTTAATTTTAAGCTCCATTAAACTTATTTCAAAGAAAAAGTTTAGGAAACTCGTATATTAAAACGATGTAAAAAAGCTTCATAAATATGTTTTAAGTAAAATTCTAAGAAAATTCCCGATCAACACTTTAATATGAAGAAAATTACATGAAGTAGAATGTTTATTTAAGTATCAATAAACATCGCATATTTTTTGTTAATCGTTTACTTAACAATGAATTTATATGAAACATTAATATCTTTATTTAATATTGCTCACACAACACTTGAATTAAAGTTTCATAATCAAATCCCAAAAGGTAGTTGTAACAACAAATGGATCGTATAACACTTGACGCTTAACGCCATCAAAATTCCTGGCAAATTGAATAGGGTATTAAATACATTTTATTACCTTCCCGAAGTGAAGTTACTTGAGAAAGAAATCTGTCAGGAACTGTAAAAGTTAACTTTAAACCACGAGAAATTAGGAAATCGCTGTTATATATTTCCAAATTGCTATTAAACTATTCCTATAGGGCCAACTAAACTTAAGGAATAAGTACAGCCACTACGCAAGATAATTTATTGCTATTGTAATGTATATTACCTATAATATACTCGAATTCATCTATCAAAATGATAATATAAATTCTGGAAAGTGATAAAGCGTTCAGATATCCGTAAATGGGGAGAAATTTTGAAATTCAAAATGATTTCACGAATAGAGAATTAAGCATGAAACATATTCATGTATGGGTAGGTATACTCAATACATTTAAATAGAGAAGGAAATGGTTTAATTTCCGGCAAGAAGAGAAACAGTTATCGTGATCACTGAATTATCTGATCTCGTGATTGTCGTTAACTGAGTTTCTGTAGATTGAATTGTCTAACATAATAGGATAAACTGGAAGACATAAAAGGTAATTTCCATAGTGCTCCTGTCAAGTCGACCAAGTTTATCCGATATTCGAATGCAATCGATAGGCAATGATTGTATTTAACACTGTCGTAATTCACTAATTTAAGCTTCTTTGTTACACATTTTTACCTAAAAGTAATAAATTTTCTTGTTTTTATAGACGTCACACCTATGTTAAAGCAAACTTTCGAATCTGAAACGATAGAACCTGGCTCTCCCATGTCGTTAAAATGCATAGCAGCAGGAAATCCTTTACCTCAAGTAACGTGGACATTAGATGACGTTGCTATACCTGATCACGTTAGATTTTCGGTTGGAGACTTTGTTACCAGACAGGCAGAAGTTATCAGCTTCGTTAACGTTACTAGTGCCAGAGTTGAAGATGGAGGATATTATAAGTGCCAAGCTGCCAATGATATTGGGAAAATTTCTCACACTGCTAAAATTAATGTCATTGGACCTCCTTACGTGCGCGTTATGAAAGATGTAGTCGCTGTAGAAGGTGACTGGTTATGGATTCGTTGCCCTGTAGCGGGATATCCTATCGAAGAAATATACTGGGAACATAGTAAGTTGATTCTTTTAATATAGTTGAAAATAAATGAAACTTTTGTATACTTGTTTTATATCAATTTTATTTTATTCTAAAACAACTCAGCCGTTTCTAGATATAAACACATCTAGCAAAATTTAAAAAACATCACATCATTGTTCATGAATAAAAAAGAAATTCAAGTTTCAAACATATTCCCTTATCCAGTATGATTTTCCTCTTTATACAGCATGTTTTATTCAATTTTGATATTAAGTTTCATAATATAGCATTATTTTTTCTATTCCGTAACTAAACCTATTATGTTTTAATATACTCGTATTATTATTTTCCATTTTTTCTGTTAAATTTCTTCGTTCTTTTCAACAAAAAATGATTAATTCATGATGGGTAATACATTTAAATGGCTACTGAATGATTTAGCGTATGGACTTTATGTATATTATTCACTGGATATATATTTTTAAGCGCAATTAAAATAAGTAATTTATTGAATTTTACTTGTTATAAAACAGTTAAGACAATGCATTAAATGTATTAATAGCAAACAATGCTCTGTGTTAACTCAGATCGGCGATAATAATGAACTAAATTGCATCGATAGAAGCCGCTTTGAAGGTTCGATGCGTTCTTTATGTAATTTAGAAACTCCCGTCTGATTGTTTGTTCGATAGCGTCTACTTGAACAATATATCACTGTTTATCTTCAATTAAATTGCGAATACAGAGAAAAATAAATTCGGACATACATTAAACACAATTCTTAAAAATGATTTTTCTTTTTACATTTTTTAAATAATGAAAAATAATTTATAATTGCAAATTAATTAATTATCTTTTATCATTTTAAAATTAAATTGTTTACGCGAATATAAACAAAATATATAAAGATTATTAGCATTAAAATAAGTTTTAATTTTCATTTTATTAATTGATGTATGACTGAGTTTTGTAATTTATTTATTTGTAGAATTCATATTAATTGTGCAAATATTTATTTTATAATAATTATTTGCTCTTCTAGTAATTCTTTGACATGTTATAAAAGATAATAACAATTTTCTAGCCGAGCAATTTTTCCGTTTTTCTATCTAACAGACGGTCGAAGGATACCTTACAATCACAGGCAGAAGACCTACAAAAATGGAACATTAACTGTTCGTGATGTTGATCGTAGAAGTGATGGAGGAAAATACACATGTGTAGCTCGAAATACACTAGGACAAAGAGGGGAAAGGAACTTAAATGTGCGAGTTCTATGTACGTTTTGCATTTAAAACCGCAATTCAAAGCTAAGAAAATTTCTTTTAATGTATAAAAAAAGACATATTTTAATATANGAAATTATAAAACTCTTATAAACAAATCGCATTAGCCTATTATTTAAAATTATTATATTTAAATTAATATAAAGCCTTCGTTTATGCACGAAAATAAAGAAAATTCTTTGTAATCTATTAGCATTTTTTGAAAAAAACCAAGAAACTAATCTTATTATCTTTCTTATCGCAAGCTCTTCTATGGACGATCTTCCATAACTCTTAACTCAAAATATTCTCTTTACTACATCTCGATTACTATCATCACAGGACATTTATTATAGGCTTAATGTTAGGGTTTAAATTTCTTGAGAGGTGGATTAGAGATAAAATTTATGATGTTTTTTTATTCATAATGCAATGAATGAAGATGTGTTGAGTACTGCACACGTGGGACTTAGTATCTCTTTTTAAGATGAAAGTCACAGTGTTCGTTTTATTGTAATAACAAGTTTAAAAACATATATTGTTCCTTACTGTTTAAAATTCATTATAGCAATAGTTGTAACGAAAAATTTCTGATATGAAATGACATAGAATTAAATAGGAATTTCTTCCTTTTATAGCGAGGCAATAATTTATAAAAGTTTATTCTTAAATGGACAGATATGTTACAGAATCTTTCCTTATTTATTAATTCTTTATTCATGATATTTTTGAATTTATATTGTTTACAGTTTTGAATTAATTAAGTCAGATTGCAGCTCTTTGTTCTTGGTTATTTGATAAAACAAATCACGATGATGCATAGAAACACATTAATCAGAAAACAATAAAATTTGACAAATCATAAATTGTATGGAAATAATGCATATAATAAATGAGTGCATTCGCATGAATAAATAAAAATATAAATTATAAAAGATGAAAAATTATGAGAGGATGAAGGATGATTCAATAAGCATTATAATGGTGAGTTTCATCCATTATAATTTTGTTATGAAAATTATAATTCTAAACTTGATTTTCAAAAATAAATGCTTAAAATTTTCATTATATTCGCTTAATTTTTATGGTTTATATTCACTATAAATAGTAGACGTTTACGGTAAAATTTGAAAATATAAGTTAAACGATTACTTGTGCTATAAATACTATTAAATATCAAATTTAATATAAATGAAGCAGCCTATTCCAATTCCAATGTGATTCATTGTCGAAAATAAAAGTTAATTTAGCATTAAATCAACCAAGATCACTAACTTGCTCTTTTCTCATGACAACTTTATTAATAATGCAAAACGATTGTTTCAAATGTTACTTCTCTACAACAAATTCGCTATCATTAATTTTTCATTTACTCGAAGACAAATAATTGGCAATTTTGTTCAATTATTGGTTTAAATAATATAGAATCTAAATTTACCATGTTTATCCTAATAATGTAAAACATTCGAGTTAAAGTAAACAATGAATGTAGAAATGCACATAGCAATTCCATTAGAAGGAAATATTAAAGATTTTAACATTTGATTAAAATTATACTTAGAATTCAAATGTATAATAATAGCTTTTCGTTTCTAAAGACTAATTCAATTGTTTTAAATATCATAATGCATAAACAAACAAATTTGAAAGACTATTCACTATGTGCGCTATTAATCCAAATAGTAATTTAATATATAATTTTTGATTTTATAATGGATCTGAAGTGCATGAAAAGCAAGCTTGGTTTAACCTTTATAATAGTTTAGATGTATGTGAGCAGGTGTACTAAATAAAATGTATCCTTCATTAATTAAACGATTAAGTTAATATAGAACGTGTTGTTTATATTAAATGCTACGTTTGCTTACATAAACACTTATGCGGTATATAAATTTATAGATTAATCTAATGTAAATTTATATTATAATGCATAATAATCATCAATTCGAAAGATTTCGAATTTTTGTTAAAATCGTATAAAAGAATTTCTGAATATTGGATTATGAAAAATAGAGCCATTTCCTCTTTAAGTTTATTTGTAATTTCCGTTTTAATTAAATTAATTACATATGAAATGTCCATCCTCTTCATTTCTCATTAATTTTGTGCTGTTGGGCACTTCCTAACATCATGCATTTTCGAAGTGTCAAACTCTTCTATAAATGCTTAAATTTGTTTGCTTAATTTCCTCTCCGGTTACAGAAACAGATAAAATTAAAGAAAATAAAAAAGAATTTAAACAGTTATAGTATCGAATTTATCCTTTTAGAGATAAAATATAATTGTTTTAAATTAATTTTTATAAGTTACTTCAGTCATGCGTTATTCCACGCTACGATCTATAGTTTATCGTGTTTAAATAAATAAAAACATAAAAATATAACTTAAATTTTAATAATAAACATCTGTAGGATATATATTATGGTTTATTATTACTAAAATCGAATTTTGCTTAGCGCAAACAGGCGATTTATCAGGTTTCTATCTATCTAATGGGTGGAAACAAATAATAAATTGTAAGTAGCTTAATGGTTATGGTTTGTTCATCAACATGTCAAAGTTATTCCGATAGTAATAGAATTAAATCCGTAAAGGATAAAACACAACGCGAAATATTTTAATATTCTTACCTGCCACTAATTCAAAATCCTCTTAAACAATCCACTTGCTTCTAGCAATGTTTCTATAAATTATTCCTTTAATAAAGCTTATTTTGAAGATTAAGAAATTATAAAACTCTTATAAACAAATCGCATTAGCCTATTATTTAAAATTATTATATTTAAATTAATATAAAGCCTTCGTTTATGCACGAAAATAAAGAAAATTCTTTGTAATCTATTAGCATTTTTTGAAAAAAACCAAGAAACTAATCTTATTATCTTTCTTATCGCAAGCTCTTCTATGGACGATCTTCCATAACTCTTAACTCAAAATATTCTCTTTACTACATCTCGATTACTATCATCACAGGACATTTATTATAGGCTTAATGTTAGGGTTTAAATTTCTTGAGAGGTGGATTAGAGATAAAATTTATGATGTTTTTTTATTCATAATGCAATGAATGAAGATGTGTTGAGTACTGCACACGTGGGACTTAGTATCTCTTTTTAAGATGAAAGTCACNTTTTAAATGTAATTCATAAAGTATTTTTCTTCAGAAATAGAATCAGCCATAATAAAACTCTTAAATTTTCATCTGAATCCCCATTAGATATACAGTATATTATTCCAAGACTCATGGGAGATCTGGCATTTACCATTATGCAGTTTAATTAATCGTTTTGATAACACAGGTTCTGTAATTAGTAACAATACACTGCGAAGTTGTAATTAGTTTATTAGTTTGAAAAGGAAAGTTTAAAGATTCATTTTATCATCAAAAGTGCTTTTGATTAACTTAATATTAGTCCATTATTCAGTTGGCATTTATTGGTAATGCTAGATTGAAGCTTTAATCTCTTAACAATTCGTCAAAGGGATGTTTAGTAAATTGTTCTGACTACATTGTTTACAGTAAATATTTTTGATTTATGATAATTTTTCTTATAGTTATAATTTTATTAGTTTGTTACTTTGTACGAAGAAAAATATAAGAAAAAATAGAAAATATAGAAAAAAATGATAAATTGAAAATTCTTGATCTGGGAGTATGACAACGCATCGTTGGAGGTGAAAACAATCAATTCCTTCGCTCTACTTCACACAGAACAACACTCTTAAAGTCCTTTGCTAAAGAACAGAAAAAAATAAATACAGATAAAACTACAGAACATCAATATTATAAACTAAAAAACTAAATTATATTTTTAATAACATTCTTTAAAACTATTATTAAATTCTTTGACTGTTATATTAAACATATACATGTATCTATCTATACTGTTACTTTATAACAATAGTTTAAAAAAAACAAGAAAAATTTGCATGTATAATCAAATTCATGAAAATATTCCCAATGCTTCAATAGTTTAGAATTTATTCAATATATTACTATTAAATTTTTTCGTGTTTTTCTTATTTTAACTCTAAAACCAATTGAAGTGGTCCTGAAAAATCTTATATTTTGAAGAAACTTCTTAAAATTCCAAAAGAATTTTAATAAAACTAAAAAAAATTATTTTCTTATTCGTCGTTTGATGTTGTATATGTATCCATATATTTTTATATGTATATATTTTATGTTAAGAATAACATTTCAATTTTACTCTAATCTTGTAATATATATATGGAAAGATATATATTATAAAATCCCAACTATCAACAAAACAAAGGGATAAAAGATTTTCAAATCTTATTGAACTCAGTGATAAAATTCAGGAAACATTCCTTCAAGGCATACCATCTTATAGAATACTAACAATATATCCTTTTTTTTTTTTTCTTTTTTCTTTTAACAAACTTGCAGAAAAGAACGAAATTCTGTAAGTAGTTGGTATATTGAAATGTCACTTTCCACTGCAATGAATCTCTCTCCTATTTCCATCTACAGAATAAGAAATGTCATTAGAAAACTCGGATTGAAAATGCATTCGAAAATTCTATAAAAATCTTTTTTCCCCTCTCCTTCTCTTCTCCTTACTCTCCATTCTTTCCTATTCTTTGTCATCATCATTATTCTGAATCTGATTCACAGAATCGGATATCATAAACAATTCATAATTAATTTTTTAAATATTTACATTATTTTGTAAAGCTTAATCATTCAGAAAATTTCTCGGAAAGGACAACTTTTCAAAATAACAAAAATGAAAAGTTTAGTTCGATTAAAAGATCTAGAGTATAAAATTGCTTATTATATAGAAATGGAATTATACCTTGGAGGAATATTTAAACTGAATGAAGTTTATTCTATCGTTAATTGCCTATTATTTCAACATGAATAAATTCGGAATTAATAAAAGTAACATATTGAATTTTTGCTATAGAATACTCAATTATTACTAAAACATTTTTTTATTCGTTTTATTAAATTTTTTTTATAAAATATTCCTTTATACCGACTTTTTAAATTTTATGCTAATATGCAGCAGAATTTTATTAAAATATCGTAATTGCTATACATTTTAATATGAAAATATATGAAATTTAATAATGTATGATGTGTTTTAACTTTAGTATATATGTATATTTATGTTTCAATCAATAATTTTCATTATTAAAAATATTCCACTTTCTGGAAATATCTAATTTAATCAATCTTTGTTAATTTTGTGATGATTAACAACAAAGTCTCATTAAATATATTTATAATGAAATCAATCTTCTTCTTGAGACAATCCGGTGTGAAGCATCTTCGTGGTTTCGAGTAGATAAAGCCAGTCAGTCAAGATGGGTACCATTCATCTGCAACTAGTTTAGTGGTGGGTTACCATCTTAAATTCTCCAAACTTGACTACTATCCAATTATGGCTGTCGTTTTTGAGGTTCTCAATGGGCTTTTATGATTACCATAATGGCACCAGATACAAACTGTCACTCTATTGGGCAATCCTTATCAAACAACATATTTAATAAAATTATAAATTTATTACTTGTCGTAATTTTTGGAAGAGTAAAAGAAAAACAAAGCTATATATCATTCCAGCGGGATTTATAATAATGATATTATATTTCAAACTTTACTTCCACTTTTATCTTTCAGCTCCACCAGTGATAGAACCATTTGCTTTCCCGGAAGCTGTAGAAGAAGGTTCTAGATCAAAAGTATTATGCTCTGTAACTAAAGGCGATCCTCCAATCACCATCCAGTGGCTAAAGGAAGGAAAGCCTTTACCACATGATCTAGGAGTGACAGAAACTATCTTAGACGAATTCTCCAAGGCTCTTATATTTCCAAGAGTTGACTTAAGGCATAGAGGCAATTATACTTGCACAGCTGTAAATTCAGCAGCTACAGCAACTTTAACGGCTTCAATGATAGTGCATGGTAAACGTTTAACTTTTTTTTAAAATTAATTTATAAATCTTAAAAATGCTCATTTACGTTAATTACGTATAAAAACAGGAAAACATGATTAAAAAAATTTTATTCGAAAAGAGATAATGCTTCACTTTAATGATTTTTTTGGAGCTGTCTTTTACACATAATTATAATTTATTATTATAAAAATTTAATTGAGTTTTTAAATTCGAACAAAAAATTGTTACATTAATTTAAATTAAGATCAAATTTAAAGTATTGTTACATACTTCAAAACAATTTTAAAATTATTTTTTTTCCAGTTCCTTGAGTTATTTGACCTAATTTAACTAATTAGTTTATTAATTAATGTTATACGAGTTATATTCGCTTTTATTATGAAAGTAAACAAATCTGAAATGAAATAATTTCCATTTTACCTCGATTAAATTCCTGAATTTGTATATAAAAGGAATTTTTCGTTTAAAATGGAATGATTACTACAAAATAACATTTTATAATTAATTTAGAAAATTATGCATTCAAAAGTCAAGATATTATCTAATTTTAGTGGAAAATAGCAGCCATACAAATGCTGTTATTTTACTTGAAAATTTTCTTCCTTTTTCTCTCCTCTGTCTGTAGTTCGATGATAACTAAAAAAAAAAGTGTAAATAATTTAATTAAATCTAACATCAAATTAAATCCTTTCCAAACAGAACTCGTTCGTGTAATATAAAGACTATTCAGACTAATTGAATTTCGAATGAAATTACTCGAGTTATTAGAAATCTGGTAGATGCATTTGTCGCTCTTAATTCTTCTCCTTATGCGAAAACGTTTTTCTTAGTTGAATAATCACAAACAATATTGAAAATAAAATAATGATCTTAAGCAGTCATGAATACCGAAAGCTTAAAAATTCCATAAAGACGAACATTTAGAAAATTAGAAAGCATTTGCATTCATCGAACTGGAAATCTCAATGGGTATAGATTTATTTAAAACACTATATATTCATTACTTTATATTCTTTTTTATATTATCTGTTGTTATAGCTTACTATATCGGATAGAATCACATTTTTTTATGGCCACTAATTCTGCTAAGAGTAAAATTTCTATCGCCATTTAAGAATTTTCCAGAGATTTTTTACGAGAAAAATAACTTTAATGTCGTTTTCAATAACTATTTATTATTTTATTCCAAATTGTTGGTATCAATTTACTAACATAGCCATACTCAATTCTCGAGATTCTCATATCAACAGATCGGTTTTTTATTGATAGCTTTTAAAATATTTATACCAACTTTTNATAAAATATGTCTGAAATGCATGTTTTGTTCTTCCATTTTTAAATTGGGATAAAAACGAAACTAAATAATTAATCAATACAATTTTTTTTTACTAAATTAAAGGTGGAAGTCCAAACAACAAGAAAACAATATAGGTTAAATGCTTTGAACACGATGACAAAGCCAAAAAAAAATGTGCTAAGGCCACCTATTGACAAAGTCAAAATTCAGTTAAAAAAACCATTTATCTTTCTATTAATTTGAATTTTTGTAATCAGATTACATCGATGAATGTCAACTTTTCATTAAATTGTTGTAACTGTTATTAGAGTTTTAACTAGAAATTATAAACTTAATACTCGGTTTAAAGTATAAATATATAATTTAATTTTACTATATTTTTATAGCACCTCCGCGCTGGACGTTAGAGCCTACTAACACAGCAGCTGTGTTAGGAACAGATGTTCTACTGAATTGCAAAGCAAATGGGTTTCCCAAACCTCAAATAATATGGAAACGAGCAGAAGGTATGACATATACTTCTCCCAAGATAGTTTATTATCAGAATAAGTATCAGATAAAATTTTTGTAAACTTTACTTTTAGGTTCATTGACAAGCGATTATAAAACGTTATTAACAGATGCTCACATACACATGATGAGTAATGGCTCTTTATCAGTACGACACGTAGAAAAATCTGATAGCGGTTACTACATGTGCCAAGCTAGTAATGGAATAGGATCTGGTATAAGCACCGTAGTTAAATTAACAGTAAGAGGTTAGTACGACAATAATCGAGTTAAGTCAAAATTACCTTAATATAACGTTAATAAAACGAGATAATCTCTTGAAACGTGGTGCCATCTGTACATTACGAATCAAACTATGTCATCAAATAGCTATTAAATTTTGTTTTTAATTTTCTTTTATAGTTCCAGCTTATTTTAAAGAAGAATTTAAAGCAGAAACAATTCGAAAAGGTGAAAATATACGTATTAAATGTCAAGCATTTGGCGATCGTCCATTATCGGTAACATGGAGGAAAGATAGCCAAGTTTTAGACAGACAGTTAAATAGAAAGTAGGGAATTTGTTTTAGAAATTGAAGAAAATATTGGATTTTTTAAAATCCTTTCAATTTTTCAGATATATGGTTGAAGACACGTTAACCGATGACGGTATGACTTCCGAACTGAACATACCATCAGCTGATAGAAGAGATTCCTCTTTGTTTACTTGCACAGCAGCAAATACTTACGGCAAAGATGATCTAAATATACAAATTATTGTACAAGGTAAGTATAATTGATTAGTTATTATTTTTTATCAGCAATTTTGATACCGGAAATGAAAGTTTTATCGATTATTTTTATTCATTCCATATCTTCTTTCTCTTTGTTATTATAAAGATTGAATGTAAATAGAGTTGATGATTCAGCTATCTGCTTCTATAGTCAGCAAAGAGTTATCATTGTTCAATAATCGATAAATTTCGGCGGTGATAGATAAATGTTGAAAGCCACTACTTATTATAATTACATTTTTATTCTAGCATCATTTTTTTTCTATTAATTTATTAATGCGGGAAGCAGACTTTCTTACTAAATTATGCATCTTGTAGGAAGCATACTAATGAAATTTTGTTATGATGAATCGAAGCAATATATATATATGACAATATTTCTATTTAACACCTTTCTAAATAATTATAACATACTGAGATAATTTTATAACGCGATCTTTCTTTGAAAATTCTTATCTTAAAATTATATTATGTCAATCTTTGATGTTTAATAATTGCTAAAAATTATTTATAAATTCTAATATATTGATAAATCGCTGAAATATGGGAATTTACATTTAAAATTTTTTGACATGAATAAATGCAATTAACAATGTATCGTTTCAGCATAATTATGAATTATTAAACAGATCTGTCAATTATAGGGCCTATTTAAATTCTAGAAATTTGCTTTTCTCCGAAAAGTTTCTCTACTTCAAGCAACTTTTTCTTGTTTCCAAATATAAAAAATATTTTTTTATTTTACAATTTTTATTATTTTAAATT